TACTCTTCAAGGTCAAACCTATGGTACCATCTTATGTCCCCCTCGAAACCATACAACTTTTGTCTGAAACATTTTTTCATATCTCTTTTAGTTTTTTAAAAAATCGACTGTATAAATTAAAATGGCCCACCCTGTATATATATATATATATATGAAAGGGAGGGAGGGAGGGGGGAGGGAGAGAGAGAGAACCGAGCAGATTTGCAAGAATAGTAGTGACAGAAAAACACATTACATTGCCATACAAAATATTAACAAGTTAATTACACATATGAATTTTCATTAAATTAAAAATTTGCTCATTGCCATTATTATTTTTCACTTATGATTAATTCTGCTGCTTATAGTTTGATTCTACAGATGGAAAACTGATTCAACAGACCAGGTGATTTATATCGGATATATTTTATAGTTCATATAAATTCTAGAAATCTCGAAATCAGGTACCAGGATCCCGAATTATGTGTTACTACATAACAATTCATGAATCCAAACACTTTAAAAAATCCAATAGTTTCAAGAAAAAGCCGAAAACCTTTAGGAACGCGGAAGCTTTGAAATGCTGAAGACTCGCTGGAACACAAAACATTTGGCATTTGAGAAAATATCGATTTCGCAAATACCCAACACGCAAACATTTTATGTGAAAATATTTTGTGTTCGCACATTTGTCTATTTAGCAACTCATTTTTAGGAGATTGATGTTCTCTCTCTATGGACGATCATTCGGTATCCAAATATATTTTAAGTGCTCTCTCCCGACGTGGACTGTAACTCGAAGTAGTAGAAAGCGGCGTTAAGCGTGAATTTTCCTTAAAAGCGATCTCCATTACCTCGTCAGCATTTAATAGTTTTGGTTTTTCCCTATTGTCCCTACATAACGCAAAAATTTTGTAAGATTAAAAGGTATTTCAACTAAATTGAATAATTAAGAAATGTATACCTGTATAAGAAGACGGCGCCATCTTCAAAATGGAAAGATAAACTATCGTGATGTTCATTCCAATCATGCTCATTTTGGATTCGAAGCACAGAATTGTCACATGGAAAACTACCTTTCCCTTTTGCTACATCTATATACTCCTCCGGAATATCTGATATTGCAGAAAGCTAAAAAAAAAAAAGAATAATAACAATTGAAATCCATTGTCTTTTCATTGATACAAAGCAATTTTCTCACGTCACTTACTTTCTTTTTCAATTCTTCGACGGTTTTATTATCCATAACAATTTCTTGAAATTGTCCCAATTGTAATTTTGCTGGTAACCATCTTTTAACAAACAAGATAATCTGATTGGTGTCAACGACTGTCTCTTTATCTGGTAGTTCTTGAACGATCATTTCAAATTGCGAATGAAATCGGAGATCCTCAAATTTCTGTTCATTTAGAAATACTTTTGAAGCTGTTTTATAATACTTTTTCCTAAGTCGACATTTTTCATATGGTATATCTATATCATATTTTCTCTTTATTTCTGCCAATATCTCTTTCTTTGCATGTCCAACCGTCATATCTTTCGAGATAATCCATTCGCATAAAAATTTGTAAGGCTAATAAAAATGGAATTCATAATAAGAAATCTTGATAATACAATAATGCAGAACTTTTAAAACACAACATATAAAGTAATATATGGGACTTTTTGTACGTGTGTGTGTGTGTGTGTGTGTGTAAAATATGAGAAAATGATACGAACCTCAGTGGAATCAATTAATAGCTGATATAATTTTACTTTGAATTCTCCGTTACGCAAAGCTCGTCCGAGTTTCACGTTAAGTCTCTCACCATCCTCATATGAATTGAGCTGCTCCGTCAAACAGCTGCATTCTGATTCACCAGAGTTTGACAGACGAAAAACTTTAAAATACTCCACAGGCACGCCAACAAATGGTTCTAAATCTTTCTTCAAAGTGCTCAATCTCATTCTTTTGTCCACCAATATTTTAAGTACTATAAAAAAGAAAGGGACGATTAAATTAAGATACCAACAGTTATAATCACTAAAATTGACTTTAACGATGTACATTTTTGTTGAGTACTATCTGCATACGGTGTAGCTCTAAAGTAATAATCAGAGTCGTCATCGATATCCCAGTTTTCGATTTCGAATATCTTTGAATTCTTATAAGGGAGTAAGTTGCGCCTGCTGTGCCACGATTGTGGTTCAATATCAACACCTTCCGGTGCATCACCGACCAACGTTTTATCACTATCGCTAAGGCTACTATCTTCACTGTTACTCTGTTCAGGAGTATTCCATTCCTCAGCTTCTCCTAATTGAGGACTTATATTTCGTACAGTGGCATCCTCGTTATTTCGTGCACAACCTTTCGAGGTTTCATTGCATTTCAAACTGGTATCCCAATGTGATTCAATAACGCCAAGTTTAGATGGACCACTGATAACTGACTTTTCCTTTTCCTCATATTTATCATCTAACAATGGGATGTTTAATTCTTCCAACGTTTCTACATAAAAATTGACAAATTAAAATTTCATAATATAGTAATTCAAACTATAACTGTTATCTCTGATACTTGTACTGTAAACTATTTAAAAAGCATATATCACCTTTACTGGTATCCGGTAACTGGACATGCAGAGAGATAACGTGTCTGAAATTCTCTATGATCCTGTGTACCGTTGATTCTTGAAAAGATTTATTATTATCTATATCATACATTGTTGATATGAATACTTTATTGGCGTTATAAAATCCTTCAGTTTGTAGATCACTATCATCATTTTCCACTGGTCTAGTTTCCGGATATTTTCGCAATATTACTTTCATTTGCTTAGGATCCATATTAACAATTTTTCCTACGGTTTGTTTATACTCTTTAACACTTTGCGACAATAAACCTCGGATATCGATCGGCCCATCTATTACCTCCTCTCGGGTTATGTCTATGACAAATACCTTAGTTGCAACTCCTGAAATATAACATTTGAAAAATATAAATTTTAATCGTAAATAATTAGCCATACACATCCCAATTCTATACTCACCGCCTGGTAAATACGTCTCAAACTTTTGATCTTTGCAACGAATTTCTAGTAATAGATCGAATCGACGTGAAACACGCCATATATTTCCAACAGGTTCATGCTCTCGATCATCGTAACTACATTCTATTAAATCAGTATTATGTTCATAACTAACTAAACGACACTGATCCAGACTCACTATGTTCTCAAGACCAAATTTCTTATACGCTTTCTCTGTTGCTTCGGTCCAAGTAATATCAGGCATGACATACAATTTAACGTTCATCAATTTCCCTTCTACCGGATGATGACAGTACACTTTCAACCTAGGTATAGACATTTGCTTCTCACGATTTTTTCTGTCATTATCTTCACTTTCCTTCATCTTTTTCAGTAGTTCCTACAAATAAGATAACAAATTATTTATGGAATAACACAGAATACCTTAGAATGCAAGAAAGTTTTTCTAGAAATTATATAAAAAAAAACCTCTTAGATTAAAACTCCTTAATTATTGGAAAAATTATTGCTGCATAATAATTAGGTTTAAATTACAACTACAATTGCAAATTAAACAATTTGATCCATTAAAACTGATTCCGTTCAAATTGTACTGTTCTAATTTGAAGTTTACAGTAAAATTTATTCCAATTTGTGTCCAAGTTCCAGTTTTTTATTTGAATCTTACCTGAATATGTTGTGGAAAATCTTGGGTTTGCATAGATAGAATATTACGAGCACGATCGATTTGCCTATACATGAGCATATAAGCGTTCGTGCTACTGCTATATGCACCGCTATAATATGCCCTTGAAGGTCCACCGCCATATGTTTTCTGGATATCGTCGTGAGTTATCTGAAAATATAGTGCAATCGAAAAAATTATCAATTAGGTCAAGAAATATAATAGGTATTATTCCCTACTTAATAAGTTGTTGCAAAATTAATTTTTATACCTGAGTAACGCTTTGGTCATTAAAACATAACCATTCTTGTGTCCTAAAATCTTTTATATAAGCGTAATAGTGACCTCCGCTCGCACTGCCACTGTGAATCATGATAGAGAACAGTTCATACATGTACGGGCCTTTTCCCAGCATATAAGTACTGCGATTCTTCTCATTCTCGTGATTATGCGTAGTACAACTCGATGTCGATGGTCCGTTGCTCATATCGATACCTGAAGGTGGACATAGACATCCTCTAATAATTCTGAAAATCGTTTCGATAAATAATCACACCCGTAATATTGTACCTTCGTCATCGTCTTGATCATGACTGGCTGAATGATTACTGTTGGAAAGACTGTTGTCACACGGTGCACAATCGTCATCCAAAGTACCACTATCTGTCGTGGAACTATCATCGCATTTAATACCTAAGCCAATGTCTTCTTCGCCACCTGGAGATTCTTGGCTCGTTGTGGACGAGATAAAAGAGTTCAAATTTAATATGTCCGGAAACGTGACTCTGAAATAACATACATCACAGTCATGTGAAATGATTTTAAAACTACCAACTATTATTAATCAAATACAACAAATTGTACCATTTACATACTTATCATTGAGCTTGATTCTATGGAAGGTTTTATAATCAAAGTCAAACCGCTTGAGATGTAAAGTTAATAGATATGGAAATTTCGTAAACTTCAATCCTTTATGCGCGTCGCATTTCTTATTGCATTTTTCACAGTGATACTGATTAGCTCCTTCCAATGTTTCATATTGAACAAATGCTCTAATCGCTTCCTCCTACGAGACGAAAAGCTTCTTTTAATGTATGTACAGGGCTGGGAAGTAACTCGTTACTTGTAACAAAGTTACAGTTACAGTTACTTTTTTGGTAACTCTAACTTAACTTCCTTACTTTCTTTCCATCTGTAACTGTAACTTAAGTCAGTTACATTTTTTCAATAACTAGTAACTAATTTAATATAGTTACATTAATAGTTACTTTATATATTTTTTTTTAACCATGGATCGCATTAGGTTTTGCATTTACGCATAAACGCCTTTATCGGCGCTTTACAATTCAAATGCAGATTTGATATTTCTATTTTTATTTCAAGAAAGTAACAGTTTGTTACTGATTGAGTATTTGTAACTGTAACGCGTTACTTTTCAGAATAGGTAACTTGTAACTGTAACTAGATACTTTTATAAAGTAACTTTCCCAACCCAACCCTGTATATGTATATACGTATATAAATGTAAATGGTATTTCAAATTGCAACATGCAGCAATATATTACCACGCTGTTATATGCAACATTGCTTCCAAACGGCCTAACTGGTAATGGGATATCAAGAAATGTATCTTCTCTTGACTTTTCTGTTCCACACTCAAGACATTTAACGTAATCGATCATCTTTCCTAGCGACATAGAAAGCAAATTACAGATATTTTCGCAAATCACACACAATGATACCTTCGTAAATTATACCTTCGTAAAGTCTATTGATCAAATCCGCTTGTTCAGTATTTTTAAATTTCTGTTCCAGTGCATCAAACATAACTCTACAAAGCTCTTGAATATCGTGCTGCTGCCATGCTTCAGTAGAATCCCATCCGAAACTTTTAGTTAGGGATGTAGTTTCCACTGCAGATCTTGTAGATGTCTATTTAAGAAATGGAATTTCAGAAATGGAAAGTTTACCATCTACGTATACATGTACATATAGTACGCAGATACAGATATTAAGATTATTAAGCAAATATTATACCTGTAAATTGAGAAATAATTTCTGTAATTGATACGGTATGCTTAAAGCTTCATCCTTTTCCGAACCATCCACGTATTCCCAGTTGTACAACGCATTACGAAATTCTGGTGTCATGTACAACGCTTGGAGAAGACTATTCAAGTAACAAGTCATTGCTTGATTGACTAAACCGACATAGCCTTAAAGAACAATCACAAAATCAATTATGCAGATATATACATAGTCCCCTATTATGAGACAGGCACCTAATATGAGATAACGGAGTTTCTGCTAAATTAATAGGCATCGTCTGTTGGTTCCATCATGAATTTATTGCCCTTGGAGTAAAATCTGTTTGATGGAAAATAGACTGTTAGATCGTGTAATCGTTGCGAAAAAAGATTTGCGATTGAATTTGGACGTTGAAAACCTACTATCTCATATTAGAAGTCTCATAACAGAGGACTTTCCTCTATATTTTAACATACATATATCTAAAAATACTAATAAAAGATCTCTGTTAGTGTAAATATACGAATTTATATTAAAGTAACTCTTAAATAGTGCTTACATACTTGTTTCAGTTTTAATAAAACTTCTGAAATTAACTTCTTCTCTACCATCTCTAACGTCTTCCCTAGCATCTTCCCTAACAATATTCTCCTCAGTCCATCGTGGCTGAAGGGACGGTGCACTTGTGAGATTAGGCAGACTATAATGTATGTTTTTCTGTGATGCTAGGTCAACAACAAAGGGTTGCGATGGATCAACGACAAATAGTGTATTTTTCATCTCGGACAAGCTCGGATCAACCGAGAAATTCACTCCAATCTGCTCCACCGTTTTGTCTTTCACATCAGACAAATCAACCTAACAACATTAGACATAATGTAGATTAGAATACACGCTTTATGACTACATATATCATAAGTAGCATTCTATATTTCAAGGAATTAAAATAACCATTGTGCACGACGACGTGGAGAGCAGCAATTTAAAACTGTCTGGTCGCATATGATAATGTTCTTCAATATAGTTGTAAAGATCCTTGACGCGTGTCGATACGTGTAAGGGAAATTTGTCACTGGTGCAAACCTTATGGTTGGCCTCAAAGGGCACATTAAACTGAACGACACATACTTGAGTCTTTTCGCCAGCTTTGCAAACCATGATCTGTGAAGAAAACGCCAAAACGCGTAACTCTCAAGTCACATAATATTACAGTAATTAACATTATCCAAGGTAGTCTCATGTTAAAATCACTGTCTAAAAAGTAACAGTTGTACGACCTCATTCAGTGCAGATATAAATATAATCGCAGATAAATATAATGCCAGTTTGTACCAAACTTTAAAGAAAATTGCGTATGGTCAGATAATAAAAATAAACACGTTCAAAAAGAACAATAATTACAGATAATCTTCTAATATAAAGATCTTTTAAGAAAAAAAAAATTAATTACACCGTAATATGCTGGAACAAAGAGGAGCACGTATTTGTTAATGGGCACAAAATTTGGAAAGGCGATTATTAAAAGCTTATCAGATACTTTTGAGTGGACAAGAATTGGCATTCTGCCATACTGACGGCGGAAAATGAGCAAGATCTACGCAACACAGCAGGATGCTGGTCTGCGCGGCATGACACAGTACGGAAAGCCTATAGAGCCTCCAGTTATATTTAGAATGTCTAAACCAAGCTTGTGAAATGGTTCTCTTTCTGAGATCACAACCTATCTCTCTCTCTCTTTCCCCGCCTCTTTGCTTTTCTATTTTATAATCTTCGTTTCTTTTAACCGTCAGACGGAATTGCTCAATTACTAATTATAAACTCCCGTTTTAATTATTCTACATAAATCTGTTTCTCCGCGTACTCTTATTTAAATTACTGTACAAGCAGAGTTCCATTTTGTTTTATTGTACATTAAGAGCGCTCGTTCTTTCAAAAATCACAAGCAACGTCTAACTGGTTAAAGATAAATATTCCCTTTTTGAATTATCACTGGCGACAATGAGATTCACTCAATTTGATAAAATAATTATACGTTCCTAGGATACATTTTGTAAGAAATTGAAAACGCTGGAGTCATCCTAGGTAAATTTCATTATTAACACTCACCTATTTTTTACTGGTCTGTTGCTGATGTACGCTTCAGTAGACAGCTTATTTCTAATCAACGGATCCGAAAACCTAAAAAGAGTACAATACCCATGTAAATGTGTAATATGAAAAATGTATAGAGGAAGGTCCTCTATTATGAAACAATGAATTTTCCACTAAACAAATTTCACCCCCAAGGGCAATAAATTCATGGTGGAGCCAACAGACGACGGCTATTAATTTAGCAGAAGCTCCGCTACACCTTATTAGGAGCCTGTCGCGTAATAGGGGACTTTTTTCTACATTAAAAACATAAATCGTATAATTTGAAAAATGGACCAATATCATCATCACGAGCTGAAGTTTCAGCGAAACATAATCTTACACCAGATGTAATTACTTTCGCGATATTTAACCGCGCTACAACCACTGGGGGGGGGGGGGACAAATTTTGCCGAGAAAGATAAATATCTATTCGATCGCAACAGGTACAACGGGTACCCGACAAATAATACAACGATCGACATAGCGACTTGGGTCGCGACAATCGAGAAGTAGTGGAGACTCGTGTCCAGATACTTGACGCAGAAAACACACGGAGAACGACGGAAGGGCACCGCTCGAAAGAGATCGGCGTCGACGTTTCCACGATCCTCTCGTCGGGCATCTCTCGACGCGGTCGCGTCGCGCCGCACCACTAGCATCGCTACGCGCGTCACGCGTGCATTACGCGCGTTATGTAAATACAGATATCTGCTTGGTCGCGCGCATAGGTAACGTATATCGGCGCGTTAACGTGGATCCCGTAGCGGGCACGACACTCAGGAGATCGGAATGCGTCGCCGTGTCGCGGGGAAAGCTCCGCTTCTAGCCGCCCCGATATCGCCTCGCTACGCGCGCGTGCACCTACGATTGGCGGAAAGACCGCACGGTCTCTGACGACGGTTTGAGCGAGCTATTACCACGGGTGTGCGGCTCGAGCGAACGAGACTGCTGGCGCGGGTAAACGAACGGTCGACCGGACGAATTTCTACGATGACAGAGCGGAGACTGACCGATAGACTTCGCCGCGTCTCCTCACTCTCGCTCTACCTTTCTCTCTCGTTCTCTCGTTCTCTCTCTCTCTCTCTCCTCTCTCTCTCTCTCTCTCGCTCCCCCGTGCGCTCTCGCGCCGCGTTCCCGGCGTGTTCCTCGGCGAATATCGCGAGACCCGCCCGGCGTGTGCCGTTCGTGTCCGCCGGAGCACGCTCGCGCTTCGCGCCGACCTCAAGGATTCAACAACTGACCCCTTACCGAAATCACTGACACATGTGCAACACGCTATAACTTTACGCCATGTTTTCCTGCACGGCGCATCACTTGCTCACGGCGGCAGCTCAAGCGACTGACACGGGTTGGAAGGAGGGGAATCACTGTTGTCCGATGCTGCACCCTACCGTCGCCTAGCGGAGGTAGACGCAGTAACGGGATATATCTCATCGTAGGGTTCTAAATTTTCGGAAAAATATTTTTTGGGAAAAATTTTCGTGAAATTTTTCATATTTTTTCGAAATAAATGGAAAAGTTGGAAAAACACTTATTTATTATTTATTTTTTTTATTATTTTAATTAATCTTTTTAATGCTTTCACTTTGCATGAGTCGTATGCAGTAAGTAAATGTCTAAAGTAACTACCAGTTATCAGTTATCACGTTCGTTAGCGTCTATTGGTCTGTTCGTTTTAATAAGTTAGACTGACACAAATGTATTTTCTCTTTATTGCACTTAGTATAGAAGTGCAATGAAAACGAACAGACCATATAACCTGAAAGACTATTTTGACATGGTTTTGACTTTTTATTGAAGAAGGCTGATGTGCAATAATTTTTTAATTAAAATTTTATTTTGGTTTCTCAACCGGTTACAATTTTATTTTGAAAAGTAAAAACATAATTTGAAAATTTTGATAGATATGAGTTTTCCTTCCTGAGGCGATACCTTCCTTAGGCCTTATGGTGCGATCCCATGGACGCGGAACGTGCGCAATGCGGAATTGGCGGAACGAAGTCCATCCAATCACAGGCATTCCGCCAAATATGTTCCGACGAAAAATATTTTCTAATGTCCCATGGTGCGGAATTTGCGGAAGCGCAATTGGCGCTGGCCAATTACAAGAATCTTTCCTATAGATTCTACTTTATAACTATCGGAATAGCGTATATTATTGGCAGGCAAAAATTACGCTTCCGCGTGTTCCGCTGCATGGGACAGTAGAAATACAACTCGTGCGTATCGGAATTACATGCATATGCGAGGTTATGGTGCGATCCCATGGACGCGGAACGTGCGCAATGCGGAATTGGCGGAACGCTTGTGATTGGTTGATCCAGTTTTACGTTCGTTCCGCCGATTTCGATCCGCAAGTTTTCATTTTATCCGTAACGTGTAACCTAACCTTGATCCGCGGACAGAAGTCAGTGAACACAAGTCTCAGATATTATTTTTGAGATTGTGTTGT